TACCATTGTCGACCTGAAGAGGTCCAAAGCTCTCAGGTAAATGACGGATATGTAGAGAACAGTTGGTGAATGGAAAAAATTTTCAATTCATAATGTCACCCAACAATTTTATCCCCGAATAATGAGTTTCAGCTCGCTAACTAATACGGTCACAGAGATCGATCGGTTTAAGTAAAAATTGAACTTATGTGCTTTATTTTGGACAGTAAATTTTATTGATCAAAATAAGTGCATTTTCTGGTTTACCATCAAAATTTAGTCCTGGAAAATTGAGTTTCATGAGAAAAGCTGCTTCCATAGCCAAACAAAAGGGAATCGAAGTTTCAAATTTGACCTCGATTTTCTCGAAAAATATCTATCAGAATAATTATTTGATAGCACCAATAGACTCAGTTCTTATGTCCCTACAAAACCCACCAAGTCTAAACTCTTTACTCAAATTTCAGAGTCTCTGGCAGCACTTTTTACAATTCATTTTTAAGTTTAACCAGAAAATTGGTTTATTCTTCAAGTTATGTGTTAATATGAGTTTTATTTGTTTAATAAGTTGTTTCTTGTCCATTTAAAGCCCGAAAATCATAACCAAAATGCGCTAATAAACTGTTATTATATTGAATTGAGTTATTAATTAGTAAAGAAGTGTATTAGTGAAAGAATGATGATTGTAGGTGATGCCATTCTCGAAATATCGAGGCAGAAAGTTTTATGTCCAATGGCCAAAACCAAGTGAACTGTTGATGCGCGAAAAAAAGTATTGAACCCATGGTGTAAAACAACAATTTCTCTGTACGCATAATAAGTTTTAGCTTTCCTACTGATACAGTTACAGAGATCGATCGGTTTAACTCTGAATCGAACTTTTCTGTTTCATTCTGAAAAGAAAATTTTATTTCTCAAAATAAGTGCATTTTCTGGTTTACCATCAAAAGTTGGCCCTGGAAAATGAGTTTCATGAGAAAATCTGCTTCCATAGCTGAAGAAATGGCTATCGAAGTTTCAAATTTGACCTCAATTTCTAGAAAACTGTAAATCGGATGAATTATTTAATAGAACCAATAGGTTCAATTTTCAATTCCCTACAAACCTGCAAGGTCTAAACTCTTTAACCAAATATTCGAGTCTTTAGCCGTCTTTTTTGCATCTCGTTTGCAAGTTTAACCAGAAAATTGGTTTATAAGAAATGGGTTGAGATGAGCTTGCTTTGAATAAGTTGTTGCTTGCACATTTACAAGCCGAACAGCATTACCCAAATGCGTTTATGGAAATTCATTGGATTAAATTGGCTAATTAATTAGTAAAGAAGTGTATTAGTGAAAGAATGGAGATTGTGGGGGAAACCAGTCTCGAAATATCGAGGCTCAAAGTTTCAACGCCAATGTCAAAAATAAAGAGAACTACTGTTAAATTGATAAAAGTATTCAATTCATGATGCGAAGCGACAATCTTTATGGACAAATAATAAGTTTCAGATCGCTAACTCTTACGGTCATAGAAATAGATCGGTTTAACTGAAAATCGGACTAATTTGTTTTGCATCAAAAGAAAAGTTCTATTTCTCAAAATAAAATCATTTTCTGGTTTCATACATCATTAAATAAGTTTCGAGAAAAAAATCTGCTTTCATAGTTGCACAAAAAGCTTTGCAAGTTTCAACTTCGATTTCGATTTTCTCGAAAACTAATGATCAGAGAAACTTTTAAATATCACCAATGAAAGCAGTTTTCATATTTATACAAATCAACTGTGTCTAAATGAGAAAGAAATCTATTTTTACCCGTTTTTGCCCACTTCTTTTTGAGTATTTGTTTCAATTTGTGCATGTATGGGACAATTGTGAGAAAACAAAAACAGTTAGTCAAAGACTGTTGAATAAACCAAGCAAAGTTTCCAATCAAAGGGAATAAATGTCACATTAGTCATTTTAGTTGAAATAAAATAAAGTTAATTTTTACAATTAAATCCTTTATTATTTCAATTAGAGGTAAAATAGTATTTTTTCAATAGAAGCCGGTTGATCGCTCAGTAAATCAGTTTATGGACATCAAACAGTCGCAGTTTTTAGTTGCAGTTTCGCTTTCATAAGTGATCAATCGATTGTTTGCTTTAACTGTTTATTGCCAGTATTTGTTTACATCAGGATCTTGAAATGGATCATATTTTGTGTCGGACCCGCAATTTTCCTCCACTAAACGAGTTATCGTTTGAATCAATGCAATTAATTGGCTTGTGCTCATAAAGATGGTGGGTTCTTCATCTTCTTCATCAGTCAGCTCTCCCTCATCATCATCGGAGGTTTCATCATCTTCGTCTCCAACATCAACAGTATCGGCCTCCCCCTCATCATCGTCAGCGCTGCTGTCAACATCCACTGAGTTGTCGTCATCTTCTTGTGATACTGACCAGGGTAACAGGTTGATAAACATTAAACTTGTTAATAAAAAGAAAACTGTTAGACTTTTTGTTGGGCTCTTCATGTTATATGCAAAAGGTTACACACACATACACTTGATCCTTAAAGGCTGTTGCTGAGGCTTGAAACAATGGATACAACTAATACAAAGTAATCAACTACATTGACTGTATTAGTTATAACCAATGCCACTTTATATTTCAAAATCACCAAATGTCCTGATTAAATAACCATTTAATCTCATATCTATTTGATCAAGTGCCTTCTGTGAGACAAAATGTGTTCTCAACACCCTCTTTTACCGTTTACCTAGAAGCAAGTCGCATGATTAATACGATTTTATTTCCAGATCACTTACCATTAATTTACACATTTCCATTGTCATCTATCACTGGTGAGTCAATGCTAGGTTAGAATTAAATAACACAATTCAACTAGACTAGTCTTTGAATGTAAATTGATTAGCTGGACAATTAAAAAACACTCGTACAAGATCGAATGATCTCTTTGTTAGGCAAATTTCCTGGTCAACTATTTCAGTAAATGTCTATCCAACACGTTTATTAATTTTAAATGTTTATAGATGAAACACAGAATCGAAAAGTTTTGATGTTTTAACTGTTAATTAGTTATTTAAAATAACATTGAAATATTTCAAAGCAGAAGCTACAATTGTAATTGTTAGCTGTTAAAAATTAAGAAAAATTTTCACAACTTCCATTTTCGCCATCTATTGGATTTTTTGAGCATTTTTTTCACCTGTTAAATTTACAGGATAATTATTCCTGTTAGTAATCTCTCGTACAATATTTTTAATTGTGTTATGCTTTTTGTTTTTAATCGTTTGTTTAGTATTTAGTTTTATTAAATTTTAATGAATAATCCGGAAAAGGACAAAACGTCGTCCCCACAGCGCCATGGGCAAACACAATCTCAACAGACTCAAGTTGGATCCAACGATCAAGAAAATTTACAACAATTTAGTATCCTGTTGACTCCAGCTTACGCTGCATTTTCTCAAATTATTGATGGATTATTTCTCACTGGAGTTGGTGGCATGACATTTGATAATTTTCGCAAAAACAAAATCACCAATATTATCAACTGCACACGTGAAGCACCTAATTGGCGTCTACCCGGAGTTGAATGTTTTCGAATTGCCGTGAGTTGATTTGCAGTAAATGTTTTAATGTAACCATCAGCTTTTATTTGCAACCTGTTTATATTTTCCACCTTACCCTTTACAGGTTAAAATAATTTAATGAGTTATTATTTTTCTGTTTTTTTAAACTGATAATTCAATGGATGGTTCATTTTAAATTTAGGTTGATGACTCGCCGACTGAGGATTTATTATCACATCTGGATAGTGCAACTGATAAAATATACTCAATTCTTTCTAATGGAGGTCGAGCTGTGGTGCACTGTGTGGCTGGTGTTTCCCGCTCTGCATCTCTCGTTATCGCCTATTTAATAAAGTACAAAAAAATGACCCTCCATGATGCTTATAACCATGTCCAATCTCGACGTCGAGTTATAAGACCAAACAATGGATTTTTCAAACAATTGATTACATTTGAGAAAAAAATCTTAGGCAGCAATAGTGTCAAAATGGTGACTCTTCTGAGAGATGACGTTCAAATAGAAATTCCTGACTTTTTTGAAAAAGAACATAAAAGATTTGTTATTCTTGAAACGCTCAAAGTCAAAGCTGCTAATCTTAGAACGGCACAGTCGGCTACTCCATCTACTATGGCTTCTACTTCTGAAAATTCTAACTCAATTGTTACAAATGAATCATCAACGCCTCAAAATTCAGCCCAAAGTTCAAAAGAATCTCCAACTATTAACTCATCATCTACAGTTTCACCTGAAGAGGAAAAAAAACTCACCGATTCATCATTAGATCATATTTCTAAAGAATAATAGAGTCATAATTTGCTCTCATAATTTTAGACACACTCAACAAATTTTATTCTGGTTAAGATTGACGATCTGAATCAAGACTGCTTTTCTAACACATTTGCAAGCATTTTGGACAAATTACCACGATTCTTTCCTCGAATCGACTCGATTCTATTTCATAATTTATTGTGATAAATGCACGCCTTAGTGAAAACCAAAACTAGAATCATTGTATTTCACCTATATTTCATTAGATACGAACAAATTCAAAAATCGCTGATTATTGGTTGTTACATTGTAATTTGTCATTGGGTAAGAAATAAGCCCAATACGGAATTGGAATGCAATTGGTCAGTATCTGCAAAACATGAATGCAAGTATTTCAATTAATAAAGATTAAATTTTAAAAAGTCTCCGTTCCAACTAAATATTTCAAATGTTTTTCAATATTATTGTACCTTTTACCACATAAACAATGTTTGACATTAAATCACGGCGTATAAAAACCGTTGTGAAAATACCAAAACTAGGATTCACATTTGTCATCAATATGGGACATTAAACAGTTAGGCTTAAGCAACAGTTCAGGCCAAAATGTTGAGAACAAGGATTAGGCGAAAAATCCAATAATGGTTTAATCAGCTTTGGTTGATTTTTTACTCTTGTTTGATGACAGTTCTTCTAATTTATCATCGCCCGTTTTTGCACTCTATGAAAATGAAATATTAAAAGCAAAGGTCAGTAAAATCTTCTAGATTATAGATTCAATAGACTTATACAAACCTTAACCTCTTTCACTGTAAATAAAGAATCAAGAATTGGTTGGAATATTGGTTGAAAATATTTGGTCCAAATTAGTAGCAAAATGACCATAACAGGGCCCAAAAAGCAAGAAGGACAAACCATAATTCTAAAGTTTGATTACAATATTTGCAGGAACAATTAATAAGAAAATAGATATTGAATGAAAATATTTAACTTTATTCAATTTGCTATTTCAAGTCGTGTTTCTGTTGATTTTCATCGAGTTTCAGTCTCATAACTGTTCGAAATGAAGATGGAGCCACATTCAAATCTTCATAAGTAACAGTAAAAATTTGCTCAAGATCTTCTCAATACCCTAAAAAGCGCAAAAACTCAAACTACTTTAGTCAAAAAGCAAAAACCGAACTATTTATTTATTCTGGTATTGGTACTTGATTAATATCGATTGGATAGTTTTTCATCTGCAAACTTCACTTGCACAATCTAAGAATTTTAAGCTAGATTGACCTAAAATCCTGTTGACTCCTTTCGATAGATGAGTTTCTGAATAGCTCTCGAAAGATACTCTTGAAAAAATATCGGACGATAACTTATAAAATGGTAAAATTTATAAATAAAAGTAGGAAATATCTTATTAATCTATTGTATTAATTATTGTATTGTAATATATCTTTAATATTAATATTGTATTGTATATGTTTTGGTATTTTTCCGTCAAAATTTCTCCGCACTCTATGGCCATAAAAACTGAGTTCATTAAAAAGTGCTATTCTATACATTGTAGTTTATATTGATATGAAAAAAGATGCACATTAATTGGAAATCTGAATATTTTTTAACGTCTATCCATTTCCATTCAATTTGGATTAATTTTAGTATTTCATAATAAAATGAAACAAAAAAGTCTACAACACCGGGGGTTCCCAAGTGGTCTCCCTCCCAAGTACTAACCCGGCCCGAAACTGCTTAACTTCGGAGATCGGACGGGATCCGGTGTTTTCAGTCTGGTGTGGTCGTAGACAATAAATAAGGCTCAATACTGGTATATAAACATAAACACTTATTTCAATAGCCAATACTAATATTTTTTTCTTTAAGCTCAAATTTTAAATTCTAGCGAGAAAAATGTGCATAGAAACCTTTTCAATCAAATGCCTCGAATGAAGGAATTCTAGTTTATCCTTAATACTATCGATGCTATCTATTTTCATGATATTTCTATTGACTTCCTCACAGGCTATTTTTTAAATTTCAATAATTTTAACTACAGTCAATTGATGATTCTTCGATGATTCTTTGGTTTATAATGAATTGCCATATGAAGGCAAATGAAATTTCACATTGTTTCATAAACCTTTAGGGTTCATTGTTTTTCACATCTTTTGATTAGATACAATCAAATATTGATTGCAATGAAATAATTTTAAAAAATTTTGGAAATAAAGAGTCATGTTCAGTTAGAAATAAGTTAGCAAATTTTACTTAATTAAAAGGTTAATTGGAACTGTTTTCAGGGAATAAATGATCCACTTATTACTCTTCAGACTATTTCATTTTATGATTTAATGAAGAGATTTTGTTTGATGAATAATGACGATCATTGGTGAGGTTAACTGTGATGATTTTCATGATAATGAGTGGAGAGGAATTGATTTTTAAGAGCAGATCAAGTCTTCCGAGAAAAGAGTCCAATTAATGTACAAATTATTAACGAAATGGTTAATCAGTGACAAATTTTTGACAAATATTTGAATAGAAGATTAAACAGATTACAGAGAGAAAGTGAAGAAAGAAAGGATTTAGGAAATTGGGGAGTATTTTTTTCCTTTCTCCCGATAACCATAAAAAACATGTCATTACAGTTTAATCATTTTTGATCAATTTTGTTTCTTAATTACACTTATCGGTGGAAGACATAATTTTGCATTTCCTTTAGTTACTCATCATTGCAAGATGAGTGTTAATTAGAATAATCTTTTTTCTCTATAAAAGCATATCCAAGAAATTATGACTGAATCTTAGAATATTCTGGACGAAGGTTGATGAGATGATTCAAGGCAATAGAGAGTTAATGGTGAAAATGGTAAAGATGGAGATGAAGTTGAGTTGAAACAATGAATATTAAAGATGGGATGTTACAGTGATAAATAAATGACAATTTTGATGAAGATGATAAAAATGAGAACAGAAAACAAAAACAAAAAAATCTAATAATCTTTAACGATCTTTCATTAGAATCTTCATTTTTTTAAATTGATTTGATCGACTCAGTTAAAGATGTGATCCATGATAGTAATCAGGAGATGGCTCAGCAACTGGCTCTGGTGTTGTGTACAGTGGATTGGGGAAATCTGGCGGATGAGGCAAAGGTCCTTGCCTTCTGGGTTTACGACGATAAGCCATAAGCCAACATGAAATGGCAACTGCGACAGCAACAAGGGCTAATAATGTCGTTAATATCATAGATATAATGAGTCCCAATTTAGGTAAACAAACATGATCAACGTCTTCTATGCGCTGACCTTCCAGTGATGGTGAAGGTTGAGGATCACGTTTCTCAAATGTTAATATAGCATTTGATTGGACCATAATTTCCTCCCGAAGAGCTCCTTCTTTAAAGGCGTCTGTTAAGAGTAAATCTTCATCTTTGACTTCACGACGACGACGTTTACCATAAGCATCGACACCATCACAATTAACAGGAGGACATGAGCCGAAGCAAACGCGAATATTACATTGGAATCGAAGGTTATTGGATGATGGGAATTTAAATGCATTGAATCGAGCCATCAGCGTTTTCTTATGAGGATCATATTCCCAATTACCGAATATTGAAGGATCAGTAGCGCAGCCGTTAGCGTCAGTCACTTCATACTGGAATTCACCTTCATCTTCCATTGTTTTGGCCACACAGCTTCGAGCGAATCCACCGTAAATAACTAATAAAAAAGGTTAAAAAAGGTTAATTAGTGTCTGTTAAAATTTAAACAATAAATATATTCAAGTTCAAAAGTAACTTACAATCGGGTTGAACATCCACTTTGAGTAATAAATCATCACCAATTTCTGCAGAAGATACTTCTTTGCCGTCAATTGATGTAATTGACATTAAACATGTTGGTGGTGGACCAGTGTTTGCAATTGTACCGGAGGTTGTTATCATAGAGACATTGAAACCAAGAGTAACTGTTCTTTCTCCAGACATGTACATACATTTAATGTGATAAGCTCGAGCTCGATAAGTTACTAATTTAGGATGTTTTTGGACCACCAAAATGAATGAGGCTTCTCCATTAACATGAATTAAACCACATTGTCCGAAACCAACCTTGAAATCGATTGATTCACGTTCTTGATTACTGACCAAGCGACGACAGTTAGGATCTTGTGAGTGTCCCTTAACATAAATAATACCATCATAACCACCCAATCGTACACCAACTTGTACACCTTCAGCAAGACACATAACAGTTAAATCTTGAACAGGTGGGATGGTTCGCACAGTAGGAACATCAGGTGGTGGAGGTGGTACAAAACAACCGATTTCTTTGTCATCAGGTTGACCCACTCTTCCTGGAGCACATACGCATACAGCTTTATGATCTCGAACAGTACACTCAGCATTTGGTCCTTTTGAGAAAATAAAATGAATTAATTAGTGAATTGAATATATTCTTTCTTGAGAAAATTTTTTGATAATGATTAATTATGAAGTGTAAAGAAACAATTGAAACATATCTCAAATCTTTGTTTGATTATGAATCTTTAAGCTCAAAAAATAAACTTACCACAAGTGTGACAAGGAGAAATACATTGTTTAGAACCAGTATCACATTCCTTATCAAGTGGACAATCAATATCGGTTTGACAACCGAAAACTCGATTACAGCCTTTGACATAAGGATCACCAATTGTGTCGACTGGACAAACGCAAACGTATGAACCAGGACGATCACGGCAATTGGCTCCTGGAGCACAAGGATTATCTGTTTCACAGATTTGTATTCCCTTACATTCACCACGAGGTGTTAATTCGTATCCATGAGGACAAACGCAGAAACCAGCTCGTTCCCCAGTATATACACATTCTTCATTGGCAGGGCAAGGGTTCGTTGTGGTACAGTTTTGGTTTCTAATTAAACAATAATCATTTTCACGGAAGTAATTTGGTGGACAACCACAGGCTCGACTATTGAGACAGATAAGGTTACCAGGGCATTGATAGGTAACACCACATTCGCGGATAGGGGTACACAATTTGTTTGGATTACCTTTATTTTTTGAATGATTAAAACGAAGTAAATAAAAAGAATTAATTAGTAAATTTTGTATCAATTTGTTTGTGAAAATCTTCAGCATCGATTGGTACAAAGATAATTAATTGTTTTTTTTTGTAGTTTTAGGGTAATTAGTTAAATCCAATACAATTTTTTTTAATTAACCCTTCCCTTTAATCCCACCCTTTGACTTTGTTAAATATCTTTAAAAAGTCCGAAATTGTAAAAACTTGAAAAATATCTTTGTACCAAAAACGATGTAAAAATGATCTCAAGCACCACTCCTTAAGTGGAGCAGATCTCTTATCAATAAATTACCTTCGAATCCAGAGGGACAGATACAGGACTGAATATGGTTGGTTGTTTGGCAAATCGCGTTGACCCCGCACGCGTTTCCTCCACGAATAGTACATGGATCGAAACATTGACCAGAGGAGAAATCACATTTTTTGGTTAAGGGGCAATCGTGATCAGTCAAACAGCCAGGAGGTTCTTTGGACATAAGAGTACAACCATCGCGATATGGATCTTCTCCTTGATAACCAGCAGCACATCGACATTCATACGTTCCGGGTCTATTAACACAAGAAGCGTGAGGTCCGCAAATATTTTTCTCATTACATTCATTTATATCTTCACAAACGCCATCAGGACGAAGTGAAAAGCCTCGAGGGCAAACACAGAAACCAGACTCTGCTCCAGAATAAATACATTCTTGATTGTCTGGGCAAGGATTATTTGTTGAGCAGTTGTAGCTAAATCGAACGCAATAATCGAGAATACGATTAAATTCGATTGGACAACCACATCGATGGTCTCGAAGACAAGCCAGATTACCAGGACATCCTGAGTCAGTAACACATTCAGAAATCGGGCGACAAATTTCAATTGGATTACCAGCAAATCCGGTTCTACATTTACATTTTCGTCGATGTCCTTCAACGTAGCACACTGCGTTTTGACCACAGGTGTTCGAAGCTAAACATGAATCTCGACATTTAAAGTCAACACATGAGCGATCATCATCGCAATCAGAATCATGGAAACATTGTTTCAGTTGTTGCTCAGGGCTACATCCGGATACATAAGGATCTCCATTGGTACCAGTAGGACAGCGACAGTCATATGAACCAATTTTATTCATGCACTTAGCTCCTGGACCACACGGGAAAGCCTTTTCTTCACATTCATTGTAATCACGGCAAGTTCCTTCCAGTGTCATCCTATGTGTCAAATAAACAATTTTGAAATTAGTTAATCAATACAATAAGTATCATTAACTAAGCATTAACTATCATTATCTTACAAGATAAGCTTCCCAAGTCATCCGAATCAATTTTAATTATTTACATAACTCAGTGCTTGATAACCGCTAGTTATTGCGACTGATATTTTTGGTTATTAGCACTAGTTATTTGAATGGGTTTGTTAACAAACCCATAGAGAGTTAAATGAAATAATTGAATTCAATTTTTGGTTAAATCAACAAAGTCAACAAATCTTATCAATGAAGAAGAGATAAAATTTTTTAGCCATAAATTGACCAATTGTGTCTTCAGCTTTTACTTTCATTATGTAAGCTTTTTAAACAACTCTTGCTCGGTGATATGATAGTGAATACACTCGGGCTTCGCCCTCGTGCATCTAACCATCATATCACCTCACAATCGTTGTTTAAATATACTAATGTGTCATTCATTTCAGCTTTCTAACTAACAATATAGTTTTAATTGTAGTTTATTGATTTTTGATAATAGTTTTATAGTTTATCTTTAATTTGCTGATTGAAAAATTTTGGGAGGATTAAATACTCATAAAACCTAATTGTTTTATGTTGAAAAGATTGAATTTTTTATTCGGGTGACTTGGTGCACTTGAATTCAAAAATTTTGCGAAACATTAATCAATACTTACATGAAACCTTTTGGACAGGCACAATAACCGACAGAGTCTCCTCTATCAGCATAAACACACATTTGATCAGAAGGGCAAGGATTATTTGTGGTACAGTTAAGACTGGACAGAACGCAAAATGATGATCTTTGTTTGTATGGATAAGGGCAGCCACAATATTGTCCCAAACAGAGCAAGTTTCCAGGACAATCAGATGGGGCTGAACAAGAATCTCTGATTGAGCATTCAACGTAAGGATTTCCTTGATATCCAGGTAAGCATTCACAATCAGCTTTAGAGTTTGATGCTCTGCATAAAGCTCCTTTACCTTTTTTTTAAATGATTAAAACGAAGTAAATAAAAAGAGTTAATTAGTAAATTTTATATGAATTTGTTTGTGAACATCTCTAACATCGATTGGTACAAAGATAATCAATTCTTTTTGTGTGGTTTTAGGGTAATTAGTTAAAATCTAGTTAACTCTACTGGTGAACAAACAGATTTAAAGGTTAGTCATAGAGTGGATTGGATCGTCAAAAAATGGAATTATATCAACAAATTCAGATATTCAAGAGATATCGGTTGCATTTTAGGATTTTTTGACTACCACAGTGCCGATTTACTATGCCCCTGTAATCAGGAAACTAATATTACGACTAATCATTGGATATTAGAGTGTGAACTTAATCACTTTGAAAGAGGTCGACTTTTAAGTAATTTATTATAGTAATTACAAGTGAACAGCTGAAACAAAATCCATATCAATACTGCATCAAAAAAAGGAATAGGAAAACAATAGCATTTATTAAGAAAATTATGTTCAAACTTAATGTATAGCTTTTCTGTAAATAGTTATATTTTCTTTAAATTAACCCCTTCCCTTTAAATTCCACCCTTTGTCTTTGTTATATATCTTTTGAAATACTCCAAAAATGTAAAGTCTTGTGAAAAATCTTTGTACCAAAAACGATGTAAAAATGATCTTAAGCACCACTCTTGTAATGGTGGAGCAGATCTCTTATCAATAAACTTACCACATATGCCGGGTTTTGAACAAACATCTGATGCAAAAAAAACGAGAAAATGGAATAATTTATTAGTTTGAAAATATATTCACGTATTTAAAGTAATTTTATCATTCAACTTACCATAACATTCTTGAGTAACAGGATTACATTTTTGGTCAGTTTTACAATCAGCATCGTGGAAACAAATAGGAACTGATGGTCGACAACCTTCCTTTCCATAAGCATTACCTACAAGAGGAAGTGGGCACGAACATTTGTACCATCCCGGTAAGTTTTGACATGAAGCTCCAGGACCACATGGAAGTACTTCTTGGAGGCATTCATTAATATCTTTACATTTTTGATGAGCACAAACATAGCCTGAACCACAATCAGAATCATTTTCACATTCAACAAATATTTTGGTACATTGACGAAGAGGATCACCAGTGTAACCAGGAACACATGTGCATTGTGCTTCGTGGTTTTCAGCACGGCAAATAGTGTTAACCCCACACATTCCACCTAAAAATTAGTAAATGAAAGAAAAAAGTAGGATAGAATCAATTGAGTACAATTAAGTTTGAATTTGAATGCAAGAAATACTAACCAATATTACAAGGACTTTGGCATAAACCGTTAACACAAGCTTTATCAAATGGACAGTTTGAATGGGTTCCTGTTTTTTAACGAGTTATTTTATGTAAAATAAAAAGAGTTAATTAGTAAATTGGGAATTTTCTTTTGGTGAACAACTGGAGCATCGATTAGTTCATAATTTGTGAATCAAAAGTATTTGAACTTTTTAAAACACTTAACTCCATGAATGTGAAAAGGGTCCTAAACCTTAATTGAAAGGTTGACCAACAAATATAATAAATAATACTTACGGCAACCAACAAGACATTTTTGTTTCAAACAAATCCTTTCCAAACCACAATCGGCATCATATCGACATTCTGGTGGAATTTCTCGACATTCGACGTCAGGGTCACCTCTGAATCCCGATGGACAAGAGCAAACAGCTACATGGTTGGCTGGTGAGCAAATAGCGCCTTCACCACACGCACCTGAAGCTGAACAAGGATCAGCACATTTTCCTCTGATGCAAGTTTTATCGGACGGGCAGTTGGCGGAACTTCTACATCCACGGGAGCAATGAGTATTTTGGCAAATGTGTTCTAATGGACACTGAGTATCATCTAAACATTCTGGTGGAGGTTGAATGCGTTCACAGAGGATCTTTGGATCACCAGTGTGATCGGGTTTACAAGAGCAAACTCTATCGTGATTAACTGGCTTACAAATAGCATTTGGACCACCTATTTTTTAAAAGTTTTTGGACGAAATAAATTGAAATGATTATTAATAACAAATAATTATAATAGTAAATAGTATCTTTCAATTTTTTGAATATATGGTACATCGATTGTTACATAACTTATTAAACAAAATAGTGTCTATTAAAAGTAATTAACTAAAAATAATTAGTGGTTCATATAACACATGAAGTAACTCTTTTGTAGCTTTTTACTCGGTACTACTTTATCAAACTTTTATATATTAATCTTACAATACTTGTTGGTCCTTTCATTTCCTTTTCAATCTTCTCTCCCCAATTTACTAGCATTATTTCATGAGAAATCTTCAATTCAATCACAAAAATTTCAAATCTTATTTGGTAACGATCGATTTTTAAAATATTTGACCTTAAATTGTACATGAAAGTAAGGGAGACTATCAAATACTATAAAATACTTACAGGCACCGTAAATAGAACATGGATTTTGGCAAACTTTGTTGATACAGGACTCATCAAATTTACAGTTACCGTCGTTTCGGCATGCATTTTCACATTTATTATTCTCACAGATTTTGCCAAGAGGGCAGGCAGAGTCCGAAGTACAGTAATCATCAGGAATAGGATCACAGCCTGAGAATGGATTTCCTCTGAAATTGACTTGGCACTCGCAACGTGGTCTATGTTGGTAGGGCTGACATACAGTATTATGCCCTGTTAATTGTGTTATTTTTTAAATGATTAAAACGAAGTAAATAAAAAGAGTTAATTAGTAAATTTTATATCAATTTGTTTGTGAACATCTCTAGCATCGATTGGTACAAAGATAATTAATTGTTTTTGTGTAGTTTTAGGGTAATTAGTTAAAATCTAATTAACCCTACCCTACTTTGTCTTTGTTATATATCTTTTGAAATACTCCAAAAATGTAAAGTCTTGTGAAAAATCTTTGTACCAAAACAATGTAAAAATCTATCTTAAGCACCACTCCTTAGGTGGAGCAGATCTTTAAATAACACCAATAAACATACCGCACGCATTTGGTAATAAACATGGATTTTCACAGGCTCCGTTAATACATGCTTTGTCTTCAGGGCAGTTATTATCATGACGACAGCCAGAAATACATTGAGTGTTTTCGCAAATTTGACCAAGAACACATTCTGAATCATGAAGGCACTGAGGTGGTGCTTCAGTACAAACAAGATTAGGGTTTCCTTTGTGACTTGGTGGACAAGAACAAACAGCAGTGTGATTGAAAGGCTTGCAATCTGCGTTTCTTCCACAGGCGCCGAAAAAGCTACAAGGGTTTTGACAAAGTCGATTAATACAGGATTCACCAAAAGCACAGCCAGCATTATCTCGACAACCAGCAACACAATGATTAGCATCACAAATTAATCGATAACCACAATCTGAATCAGAAGTACAAAGCTCTTCGTCTTTAACTGGGCGACAACCAATATGAGGATCACCAACAAAACCATTTTTACATGAACAGACTGGTCGATGAGATGATGCCAAACAGTTAGTATTGGCACCACATGCGTTTTGGAACGAGCAAGGATCTTTACAGATTCGGTTGTAACAAGTTTTATCTGGTGTACACTGTTCATCTTTGCGACAGCCTTCTAAGCAATTGCCAAGTTCACAAATGTAGCCAAATTCACAGTCTCTATCAGCAACACATGTGACTTGATTCTGAGTTTCGATTCGTTCACAAAATTGATTGGCCTCCCCACGGAAGTTGTCCGGGCAAGAACAAATAGGTCGGTGGTTTTCTGATCTACACAGAGCATTTCTACCACCTTTTTTATTTTTCAAATGATTAAAACGAAGTAAATAAAAGAGTTAATTAGTAAATTTTATATCAATTTGTTTGTGAGCATCTCTAGCATCGATTGGTACAAAGATAATTGTTTTTGTGAAGTTAAGTTTGTTAAGTTATATTTTTTCTTTGAATTAACCCCTTCCCCACATCCCACCCTTTGTCTTTGTTAAATATCTTTAAAAATATCTTTGTACCATAACGATGTAAAAAATGATCTTAAGCACCACTCTTCAAAAAGTGGAGCAGATCTTGAATAATAACAATAAACTCACAGGCTCCGAATACTGAACATGGATCTTGGCAGCGACGATTGATACAAGCCTCAGTATAAGGACATGTATCGTCAGTTCGGCAGGCATCAATACATTTACCGTTCTCACAGATTTGTCCAGTACCACAATCAACATCGTGAAGGCAAACAGGAAGCACTGAAAAACGAAGAGTTAATATCGTAAAAGGTCAAAAATTGATATTTAGTCATGAAAAGTTTGATTTGAAGTTGTAAAACTTACCAATTGGATGACAACGAGTGCTAGCATCTCCAGTAAAACCAGATGAACATGAACAGAGAGGTCGATGTTTAACGGGTGTACAGGTTGCATGGTCTCCTGCAGAAAATAAAAATGTTTCAATTGAAGTTAATAAAAGGAGTTAATTAGTAAATTATATATTAATTTGTTTGTGAACATCTCTAACATCGATTGGTACAAAGATAATTAATTATGATAAGAATAAGAGATAAGAAAATTATGTTCAAACTTAATGTATAGTTTTTCTTTTGAAATATGTTATTTTTTTTCTAAAATTTTTTAGCTTAACCCCTTCTCTTTAATCCCACCCTTTGTCTTTGTTAAATATATTTAAAAAGTCTAAAATTGTAAAAACTTGAAAAATATCTTTGCACCAAAAACGATGTAAAAATGATCTAAAGCAACACTCTTCAGGTGGAGCAGATCTCTTATATCAATAAACTTACCACACGAATCAGGGAAATCACAAGGATTCAAACATTGCCTATTTATACAAGCCTTATCATGAGGACAGTTTTCATCAAATCGACATCCATCTAAATTAATAGTTAACATTCAAGAATTAATATTACGAGCACTTATTGTTTAGATTTCATCCATATTTGATTATATTACTCACCGAAACATTTTCCCTGATCGCATATTTTGCCAAGAGCACATCCTTTATCGTCTGTGCATTCTGGTGGGGGTGGTTCTTTATTTGGTTTACAATAATCATAAGGATTACCAGAGTGTTTTGGTTTACAGGTACATTGCGGTCGATGAACGACTGGGTGACAGTCGGCATTTTGCCCACAAGCTGTTTGAACGGTGCAAGGATTGATACATTTATTGTTGAAACATGCCTTATCATAAGTACAGTCCCCATCACGGCGACAGCCAACAATACAATTTCCTGATTCACAAATTTCACCAGGCGAACAACCGGTATCTCCATAACAGGTTGGCTCTTCTTTAATACAATGATTTTGTTTGCATTTTTGACCTGATTCACATGTTTCGTCACCAGTACATTCAATGTCTTGAGCGATAACCTTTTCAGAGCAAAGAACTCGCGGATCACCAACAAAGTTTGGTGGGCAAGCACATTCAGCTCGGTGATTAACAGGTCTACAAAGGGCTCTGTAACCTGCATTTTTTAAATGATTAAAACGAAGTAAATAAAAAGAGTTAATCAGTAAATTTTATATTAATTTGTTTGTGAACATCTCTAGCATCGATTGGTACAAAGATATTTAATTGTTTTTGTGTGGTTTTAGGGTAATTATTTAAAATCTAATTAACCCTACTGCTATCCCACCCTTTGTCTTTGTTATATATCTTTGAAATACTCCAAAATTGTAAAGTCTTGTGAAATATCTTTGTACCAAAACAATGTAAAGATGATCTTAAGCACCACTCTTTTAGGTGGAGCAGATCTTGAATAACACCAATAAACTTACCGCAAGAAACTGAACCAGAACATGGATCGCGACATTTACCTTGGATACAGGACTTATCTGGGGAACAATTTGCATCTGATTGACACCCAATTGAACAACGTGATGAAATACAAATTTTACCATCACCACAATCAGAGTCTGCCCGACAATCTTCTTGTTTTACAGCACAAGATTGGTATGGGTCTCCGAAGAAACCTTCAGGACATCTACAAACAGCATCGTGATTGATTGGATAGCACACGCCATTATTACCTGTGTTATTTTTTAAATGATTAAAACAAAGTAAATAAAACAAAGTAAATAAAAAGAGTTAATTAGTGAATTTGATATTAATTTGTGCGTGAACATCTCTAGCATCGATTGGTACAAAGATAATTAATTGTTTTTGTGTAGTTTTAGGGTAATTAGTTAAAATCTAATTAACCCTACTGTAAAGTCTTGTGAAACGTCTTTGTACCAAAACAATGTAAAAATCGATCTTAAGCACCACTCTTTAGGTGGAGCAGATCTTGAAATAACACCAATAAACATACCACATGTTCGGTAATTACACGGATTGGAACATTTGGAATCAATACAAGCTGAAGTGAAATCACAATCAGCGTGAGATCGACAGCCTTCACGACATTTACCGTTGTCACATATTTCGCCTTGATTACATTCATGATCAGAGGCACAGCCTGAGACAACTGAGCAACGAGAGTTTACACAAGTATAGCCTACTGGGCAATCTTCAGGTCGACGACAGATTGGTATTTCAGTGCAAGCAACCAAAGGATTTCCTGTATAACCACTCGAGCAAGAACATTTAGCTTTGTGATTATAAGGTGTGCATTGTGCGTTGATTCCACCTTTTTTAAAATGATTAAAACGAAGTAAATAAAAAAAGTTAATTAGTAAATTTTATATCAATTTGTTTTGAAAATCTTTAGCATCGATTGGTACAAAGATAATTATTTATAATTGTTTTAGTGTAGTTTTAGTTTTATTTAATAAACTGATCAATATCTCTAAAAAAAGTCTAAAATTGTAAAAACTTGAAAAATATCTTTGCACCAAAAACGATGTAAAAATGATCTTAAGCACCACTCCTTAGGTGGAGCAGATCTTGAATAATACCAATAAACTTACACGATGTTCGTAGATTACACGGATTCTGACATTGACGGTTGAAGCAACCTTGATCAAGGGCACAATCATTATCAGATCGACAGCCAGAGAAACATTTACCCGTAATACAAATGTAACCAACATGACACTCTTTATCTTCAGAGCATTCATAACGGGCAACACATCGATCATCAAGGCATTGCCTATCAGCTGGACAGTCTGAATCTCTATTACAGATCATTGTGGAGTCATCTGAAACTGGTGCAGTACAGCGAATCAAAGGATTACCAGTAAGTGGCTCATCACACGAACAAACTGGTTGATGGTCAACAACTTTACAGATCGCATTTTCACCTGTGATTTTTAAGAAAGTATTTTTAAATGAAATAAAGGGAGATAATTAGTAAATTGTATGTTTTCTTTTTTTAACACTTGGAGAATCGATTGATGCTTATTTTTATTTTAATCTTTCATATTTATTCATCCTTTTTTAATCCCATTTCCTAAATCAAATCATAATCAATTTAGTTTTACTAATAGTACCCAGAAAATATTTGTAGCAAAAATGTATAAAATAAAATTTATAATTTTATTATGCATTAATACCAATCGATTTTCAATTGTTTTTGAAAAAGATCTTAAATCTTAGAGAAAATAAGGTAAACCATTTAATATTCCAATAAACTTACCACAAACTCCACTAAACCGACATGGGTCAGTACATTGAAGTGAGATACAAGATTCCGTTGGACGACATCCAGCATCTGATCGACAAGCTGCAGTGCCTGAAAAAGTATTTTATTGATTTAACATTAAAGATTCGTAATCAGATGTAACGATTTTGAAAAGATGGTAAAAATACTTACCATTGAAACCAGAGGTACATTTATAGTTAATGCAAATTGTCGACGCAGGACAGTCTGTATCAAGAACGCATTCAATCTTTTTACATTCCAATCGCGGATTACCAGTAAAACGAGGTGGGCAAGTACACCAAGGACTGTGGTTGATTGACTGACAAATAGCATTCGTACCTTTTGAAAAATTAAACGTAACATTATGATAAATATTAGAAAATCTTGATCAAATAAATCTCATCGAACAGATCAGTTTATATTTCTTTACTTACCACAAGCTAATGGAGATGCACAAACAGCAATACATTTTCGGTTCATGCAAGCATCAGAAGCTGAGCCTGTTATTAAGAATTTTTTAAATGAAATAAAAAGTTTAATTAGTATATGTAAAAGAACCTTAAACCTTACATAAAAGTAAGGTAGACCATTATATTACAATTTATAAATAATACTTACATTCACTATCGGATCGACAACCAGGCTTACATTGACCAAGCTCACAGACAAAACCATGAGCACAAGAATCATCTGTTTTACAAATACTGGTACAGAAACCATCGGTACATTTTTCGTTATCAAAGCAACCATTATCATCGAGACACTCAAATCTACAGACATCAGCTTCACAATGTTCACCGTTTCCACATTCATTCGAACTTGTACAGAATCGTGATTGACGAATACATTCAATTCGTGGATTACCCTCAGTTCCAGGTCCACATGAACATATTTTTTCGTGATTATCAGCTCTACACACTGCATTAGTCCCACCTTTTTTGTGTTATTTTTTTAAATGATTAAAACGAAGTAAATAAAAAGAGTTAATTAGTAAATTTTATATCAATTTGTTTGTGAACATCTCTAGCATCGATTGGTACAAAGATAATTAATTGTTTTGCGTGTAGTTTTAGGATAATTAGTTAAAATCTAATTAACCCTACTACTGTTGCAAAACGTACTACCAAAAACGATGTAAAAATGATCTTAAGCACTACTCTCTAAATAGTGGAGCAGATCTTGAATTATACTAATAAACTTACAAGCCGTTCGTGATGCACAAGGATCAATACATTGATTGTTCATACAGGCTTCGGTATTCGGGCAATCGTTATCAGCTCGACACCCAGGCTGGCATGATTTTTGTGAACAAATATCACCAAGAGGACAGTCTCGGTCTCGATTACATCGAACAACTGGACAAACACCATCAGCACAGATACATTGAGCGCGACGATTAGCTGATTGACAGGTTGCATTTGCATTACATTGAATAGTAACACATGGATCAACACAACGACGAACACCAAAAGTATCAGTGAAACAAACCGAATTTGAATTAGAGCAGTCTTCATCAACTGAGCATTCGTTTACAGGTATTGGTGTGCAACCTTGTCGACTACCAGGATCACCTGTGTAGTTGGGTTCACATTGACATTGTCCACGATGATCGATAGCAACACAGCGCGAGTTTGGTGTGCAAGTGAAATCAGCACAAACATCTGTGCATTTGAGAATACCAACGGAGTTGGGTCGACAAGTTTGGAAATCAGGACAATGGACATCTTCACGGCATTCATCATCACGTCGAACACAGAAACCATTTTGGTCTCGTAAGAAGCCCTCTTTGCAATCACAGAAGTAAGTATGGTTTTTAGCGATACATTCTGAATTAGGTCCTATAAAATGTGGTAAACCATTTAATATTCAATACAAGGAAATAAGAAAAAGAATCATTAGTTAAATCTAAAAATACTTTTAAACTTTTAAAAAATAACTTACCACAAAGAGCAAATTTACAAGCATGGAAACATTTTTTAACACCATTGTTCATGGGTTTACAGACATCTGATGATTTAACACAATCTTGATCTAAATCACATTCATTTTGCTCTCTACGGCGACAGCCATTGACAATATTAGTAGCATCACCAGTGTGATCTGGTAAGCACTGGCATGTACCGATATGATTGATTGCCTTACATCGAGCATTAGGGCCTTTAAAAATAGAATAGAAAAATTAAATTGAGTAAATTAATCAAAGAATTAATAGATTTATTGCATTTTTTAATATTTTCGCCAGTACTTAGAAATATTTTAGATTTTTCATTGAAAATCAGACACTTCCGTACTGAAAATAATGTTACTTGAATATTAAAACTTACCACATTGAATACCATCACAAGCTGGTCTACAGTCCATTGAACCTGTTTCTGTTCGTCGACAGGCTGAGTTTATCGCACAATCAGCGTCACTTTCACAGATGTTGGCTTGAAGAGGTTGGCATCCGATGGCTGAGTTGTAAGGGTCTCCAGTATGTCCAGGAGGACAAACGCAAGTTGCTTTATGGCCAGTACCGACACAAGCAGCATCACTAATGGAAAAATGGTCAAATTTAACATGTTAATAACAATTTAAAAATTTTAAGACGGAAAAATCGATTTGAATAATGTTATCAAGCATTACCTTGCGCATTTTGCGTAAAGACAGGCAAGGGCACATTTTTTAGTTCCTGAAGTATCTGATCGACAAACTGAATCTTCATAACAATTATCATCAGATTGGCATTCATCAGGAACAGTACAACGATGGAAAGGATCTCCGATATATCCAGGTCTACAAGTACATGAAGGTTTATGGCCAGTTGCGACACATAGAGCATTTTCACCTACAAAAATAAATAAAAATCAGATGAATAATGTACTAAAAAAGGAAAACCCAGAGCTAAATTGAAGTCATTCTTGATAAACCTACCACAAAGATACTTTTCACAGGCATCACGGCAGACATTAATTCCTTCAGGTGAAGCGACACAAACGGCATTTGAAGGGCAAAATTCTTCTCCAGTACATTCATGAGCAATGGGTTGACAACCTATTGCTTTGTTATCTGGTTTACCCGTGAAACCTTCAGCACAAGAACAAACTGCAAAATGATTGGAAACTGAACAAACTGAGTTTGGACCTGTTTAAAAATGTAAATAAAAAATGAAAAGTTAGTCTCTGATTTGTTTCAAAATATTCTGATAATGAAAAGTCAATTTAATAAACATACCACAAAGTTTGTCGATACATGCATCAACACAAGTGCGAACTCCGTTTTGATTGAGACGACACACTTCATTGGACCCGCAATCAACATCGGAACGGCATTTATCAGCTGGAGGACAGCCTCGAACGAGATCATCAGGATTTCCATCAAAACCTTCTTTACATTGGCAGAAAGCTTCATGATTTTTGGCAACACATTCTGCATTTGAACCTGTAAATTGTGTCATTTTTTAAATGATTAAAACAAAGTAAATAAAAAGAGTTAATTAGTGAATTTGATATTAATTTGTTTGTGAACATCTCTAGCATCGATTGGTACAAAGATAATTAATTGTTTTTGTGTAGTTTTAGGGTAATTAGTTAAAATCTAATTAATGTAAATTAATGTAAATTGTTAATTGTTATATCTTTTTTTAAATTAACCCCTTCCCTTTAACACCACCCTTTGTCATTGTTATATATCTTTGAAATAATCCAAAATTGTAAAGTCTTGTGAAAAATCTTTGTACCAAAACAATGTAAAAATCGATCTTAAGCACCACTCTTTAGGTGGAGCAGATCTTGAAATAACACCAATAAACATACCGCATCTGATGCCTCTACAGGCTGAGATACAATCAAGAACACCTTTTCGATTTATAGCACAAACCTCAGACTCTGAACATTCTGAATCAGTTCGGCATAAATTAAAGATACACACTCCAGGTGGTGAACCAGGTTGTCTTGTGTAACCAGGTAGACATTCACAAACAGGATGATGATCGCGACCAACGCAAGAAGCACCAGTTTGACAGCGATGTCCGAAGCAAACATCAACACAATCTTTTATTCCTTCGATAGTAAGAATACAAGCTTTATCAGGTTTACATGAAGAATCATCTTCACACAGATTTTGAGGTGGCTTTTGACATCCATGTAGTGAATCACCAACGAAACCTGGCAAACATTCACAACTTGAAGCATGTTCTCGTCCAACACAGTGAGCGTTATGTCCTGTTAAAATAATTTATGATTAGCTTATTGTTATATAAATGATTTAGATTTTCAAGCTCTATCAACTTACCGCATCGAGTGTGTGAGCAAACATCTGTACAATTTTTGAGACCATTTTCTTGACGTTGACATGATTGTGTTTCAGGACATTCACCATCGTCTGAACAAGTTGGTATTGGTGGTTGACATCCAAGTTTGTTATCATAAGGATCACCACGGAAATTAGGCCTACATTCGCAAAATGGTTTATGATCTTTACCCCTACAAATAGCATTAGGACCTTTGGGGATTAAAAACAAAAGATAATGTTACTTAAATGCTGCTAAATAAAATTATGAATTACGATATTAATTAACTTTGCTGAGAACTTACCACAAGTGAACCCTTTGCAAACAGACCCACAATCTCGATAACCTTTGGGTGTTAGTTCACATAACTCATCTTCGGAACAGTCAGGATCGTTGAGACAAATCGGAGGATAACAGCCTTTATTGAGATCATAGGGATTACCTTCAAGAGATTCGGATGAACAAATACATTCAGGTCGTTCACCAGAGACACGGCATACTGCTGATGGGCCACATTCAATGGTTGCACATACATCGGGTGCTGGTTCACAAAAAGTAAATGGATCCCCAGTATAACCAGGTGGACATTGACATTGATGACTACCAATTGTATTAATACATATTGCACCTTGGCCTTTTTAATGTTTTAATTGAAGTAAATGAAAAGAGTCAATTAGTAAATTATATATTGCACCAAAACGATGTGAAAATGATCCTAAGCACCACTTTCCAAATAGTGGAGCGGATACACAAAAATATCAATAAACTTACCACATAGACCGAAAGGTCCACTATCACATTCGTTAATGTCAACACAACCCGATGATATATTACTAGGATTATAAGTGTACCCAGCATCACAGACACAAGCAGCTTCATTTCCTTTAACCTGACAAGATGCATGAGCACTACAAACGATTCCCTCGCATGGTGACTTACATCCTTTCTTTGGATTACCGATAAACCCTTCAACGCAAACACATTTATAAGAGCCATCAGTGTTGATGCAACTGGCATTACCCCCACAGGGCTTAGGACCAAAGACACATTCATTGATGTCTCTACATTTCGAAGTACCCTGTGATTTGTTAATTTTTTCAAAACCTGGTTTGCATTCACAACGATAACCTCCTGGACCATTAAAACATTTGGCATTGGAACCACCTGTAAATTGTGTCATTTTTTAAATTATTAAAACAAAGTAAATAAAAGGAGTTAATTAGTAAATTTTATATTATTTTGTTTGTGAACATCTCTAGCATCGATTGGTACAAAGATAATTAATTGTTTTTGTGTCAGAATCAGCCAGAAAGAAAATTGATCAATATTCAATGGAACTTATCAAGAAAATTATAGGAGTCCCTAATGGTTCATCAAGTTATCTGGTAATGTCATTAATGGGGAGAAAACCAATTTGGTCAAGAATCATCATCTATGGTCTTAAATGGATACTAAATAATGAAAGTGGTGATAGGAATGGTTTTAAACAAGAACTAAAAGAAAAAATATCAAAAATAAATCCATCTTTCCAGGAAATTTGGGAAATGGATGGTGCTAGCAACTATCAAAGGAAGAAACAAATTGAAAAATTTGTGGATAAACTCATTCTCAACGATTATCACTACGACAAGTTATTCCCTGATGAACAAACTGATATAAAGGTTAACCATAAAGCAGATTGGATATTCAAAAAATGGAACTTTATAAACAAATTCAGATATTCAAGGGATCTCGGTTTTATACTTGGATTCTTCGAATACGAATATGCTGATTTACCATGTCCATGTAATCAAGAAACTAATATTACAACCAATCATTGGATACTGGAATGTAAACTCAATCACTTTGAAAGAGGTCAACTTTTAAGTAATTTAGATATTACAAATGAGCAGTTAAATCAAAACCCATACAAATATCTCATCAAGCAAAGGAATAAGAGATCAACAGTTTTTATTAAGAAAATCATGCTAAAACTTAATGTATAGCTTTTTGTAAATTGTTAAATGTTATATCTTTTTTTTAAATTAACCCCTTCCCTTTAACACCACCCTTTGTCATTGTTATATATCTTTGAAAATAATCCAAAATTGTAAAGTCTTGTGAAAAATCTTTGTACCAAAACAATGTAAAAATCGATCTTAAGCACCACTCCTTAGGTGGAGCAGATCTTGAAATAACACCAATAAATATACTCACAGATATTTCTTTGAGTTTTACACTCGTCAATATCTTTAAAAAAAAGAGAAATTTGAATATTTTAGTAATTAAGTTTCTTAGAAATATTTCCAGAATTAAAACAAATCTAAAGTATTTTCAATTTACCAATACAATCAATATCTCGTGGTTGGAACCCTGCACGACATCGACATTCTCCTTGTAAACAAACTGCATTATCTGTGCATTCCAAGTCGGATTGACAGGGTATATCAACTGCAGCTCGCTCACAGCCAACATCGGGAGTTCCTCGAGGTAGATATTTGCTTGGACAGTCACATCGATATGAGCCAGGTATATTTGAGCAAACAGCTCCAGGTCCACAGGGATTAGCAAGACACTCATCGATATCTAGAAAAGAAGAGCAAATTTTTAGAGTAAATTAAAATTTAAATTCAAATACTTTACTTCAGTTTCAACTTACCAATACAAGCAGTTAACGGATTACCGGTGTAACCTTTTTCACAAGCGCATTCAAAAGATCCAAGAGTATTAAAGCATTTGGCGTTTCGACCACAAGAATTTTCCTCTAAACATTCATTAATATCTGTGGTAAAATAAGAAAGGTTGATCTTATTAATACACTGTAACTATTTTTGATACTTGAGTGTTGTTATTAATAATGATGATGGTACATAAACAATTTGAATGGGGAAAAAGGCGAGGTGCTGATTGGCAATTTAAATGATTGATATGTTGATGTTAATGGTCATTATCAAGCAAACAAGAAGAGCGAATCTGATGAAATGATTTGATAATGAAAAGAGGTGAAAAATAAGAGGGTAAAAAGCAAATAACTTGATATTGCAACCAATTAAATGATAAATACTGATAGTATAACATTTAAACACATAAACTTATAAAACAGTTAAGATTATAGCAAGAAATAGGGAATGTTTCCTGATTCAACTCAATTTTATCGCAATTTGTTACTTTAAAATATTAAGAGGATAGTAAAGGCAACAAAATTGCAATCAAATTGAGAACCAATAAATTGTTATCAAAAAGAGAGGGAAATAAATAGATAAAGTGAAATAATCAAGAGAAGTTGAAATTTCAAGGTAAAAGTTATTTCCCAAAAAGGATGAGTGATCGATGATAAAATGAAAGCAAATAGCACTTCTCGGATTTGTAATAACAATCTTTGATATAAATATTAATAATAACTGCAAGATTGGAGATAAATTATTGAACTTCTCTCAATCACCAACATTATATTTAAAATTGTTTGTCAAGTTAGTCAAGCAAAGCCAGCTATTGAATGTTAATTATTTCACCAATTCATCCTTAGACCATTTAAGATGTAAAATGTTTTGTTTTCAGTCTATAATTAGTGGATATTATTGTAAAAGTAGACAAATATATCCAATAACAGATAAAACAATGTTGACATTGAGTTGTCGGTCAGACAAGTCATTTCAAGATGAAGATATTGCTGTTCATTGGCGATGGTGATGATGAGGGAGAGATCATTGTGGTGTGACTATTAGTGGAGGAAGCCGCTGAGAGAGTGGTGAAGCATTGAGGTGCAAATAATATCGAGACGAGAAATTGTTTTAAAACGGAATAGATGAGGTAAGTAAATTACTGAGGAGGGAAATACAGAGAAAGTGAAGATGGGAATGAAGGAAGCTAATCCGTTTTAATATTAATTATAATCATAATGATGATTATTATTTCTTTTTCTGGTGAAGGTGAAATACTTTTCTTCCAATGGAGAGAGTAAAAATGATTGATAAGAGGCCTTAGAGGCCTAAGTGTGAGGCGAAAAAGTAAAAGATGATGTTCTAAAGGAATGGCGAGGAAGAGAGAAAGGATGATGATGATGATGGTAAAGATGAATATTGTGTATTTATGTGTTTGTAATACGCGTGACTGGTTATGCATTGCTATGCCTTTTTGCAGATTGTTTGTGTGTGTGTTGTGTTTGCTCAAAAGTGTGAAAATCTCATTCTTGTTTTTTATTTTTTCATTTTCTTTCATTTTTTTCTTCTTCTTCTTCTAAAAAAATATAATAAGTTGAAGGTAAAAAGGTAAAAAATAGTGACTTTCATTGGGTTGTAGATGAAGTAGCGAGTTTAAGAGTAAAAGTATGAAATATTTGACGGAGATGATGAGGAATAATGTAGCCTATTGTGAGACAAAATGAAGCGTATCAACAAGTTGTATTAGACTGCAGGTATGTGTGTTTAAATGTTGAAAAAGGCTGGTATGGAGGTAAAAAATACCTGTCATTGGAAGCTGTCAGTTTACTTATATAATAAAGATTGTTGAGAAAGTAAAGAAGCAGAGGGTAGGAAAAATGACAAAGAGGATGATGTTGATGGTGATTATGATGCTAAATCAACATAACATCATTGAAGGTGAAGAGAAAGACAAGAAACAGTGAATTGATGAGGATGAAAAATTTAATTACCTGAACAACCGGCTGATAAAAAGGCATCTCCTGAAAATCCTTGTTTACACTGGCAGTTATAACCTCCAAGAGTATTGCTGCAAAGTGTATTCAATCCACAGGCATTGGTTACACATTCATCAACATCTAATTGGTAAACAAATGGAAAACAATAAGAAATAACAAAAAACGTTAATTAATCATAAATTTATCACAGTTTCATTATGCTATTTAAAGAAATCAAACAAAACATGTGAATGGGAAAAAAGATCAACAATGGACGATAAAAGACAATCAATAAAATAAATTGATTGGCTATTGATGAATTTTAAAGATTTACTTTGATATGTTATCAAACAATAACTCAAAGTAAACTTGACAATCCAACAAATCTATTTTTGATAATATCAATCCTTGAAGAAACGATTATCTTGATTTTGTCCAAAAATAGTTGTAACCAACAGAGATCTCAAGCAAATCAAGCGAATGAACTTTTGCTGGTTTACAGGTTTTTGTTGCCACATTCAACATTTTAATGATCGAATGGGAAGTAAATCCAAAAATGTTTCAAGTTGAAATGAACACGATTCTTACCAGTACATGAGATTCGTGAGTTTCCAGTAAAACCTTGTGGACATTGACAGAAATAGCTTCCAGCGGTATTAACACAGGTTGCATTCAGGCCGCAAAGTTGACGATCGGTTTGACTGCACTCATCAATATCCACGCAACCAATCTCAGGCCTAGGATTACCTCTAAAACCGGTAGGACATGTACATTCAAAGTTACCAGGTAAATTGGTGCAGATTGCTCCTTCACCACATGCATTCGCTTTACATTCATCAATGTCTATTGTCCATGAAAGTTAACGGGAAAGAGAGGAAAGAGAAATGAAGATATTAATATATGATCATTATTGTATCATTAATGTGAACAGTATAATTTGCACCAACATCATTATCATAGACATTATCATCAAGAATGAGTTACATGAACAAAAAATAAGCCAACAGTAGTAATAACATCAGCAACAATGGTTGAAAAAAAGTACTCAAGATAACAATCATGCTAATTTTCATGCTTATATGAATTTAAAATGAATAATGATAATGATAAGTTAATTAGGGACAAAAAATGTACGACAAAAAAACAGTTGTAATTGCTGTAAAACGGCAATGGTTATTATCATTTTCCTATGCCACCGACCTCTGAGTAAAGTGCTTTTACCTTATTGATTTACCATTTATTCACATTAATTACCTTGATTTAAGATGATTGGAATGAAAGTCAAATTTTAAATTATATCAAATCAAAAATAAAACCGAGTCTTTTTTTGGAAACAAAAAATTAAAACAAAGACAAGTTAATCAACGAGATGAGGGACAAAAAAGAGCAAAACTGATCTACAATTTAGAAGCATTATTTCAAGTAAATGGTAATTTAGCTAACAATTGTAGTCTTAATTTAGTATTAAACAGCCCAAACTATCTAATTACTTTGTGAGAAGAGATGAGCACAGTTAATAGGGAACAGTTTAGCTGTTTCCGGTTACAATTATAGATATAAAATTGAGGTTATTTTGTCACTTGTCATAGTCAAGGTATAAAAAGGTTGTAAAAGTAAAAGATGAGGATAAAACGTTGGATCAAAATCATTTTGGTGTCAACGCACTCCAAGAGTATGATGATGATGATGGAAAATAGGAAGAAGAGGAAAAGGGCAAAGTGTAGACCAGAAAATGAGAGTAACATGTTGGTTAGAAGATGGAAAAGATGGAAAAGATGAAGCAGAAAGAATTGATATCAAGAGATGAACAAATCATTCACTGAGATGTTGAGGCGATTAGAAATGATTGAAAAGTCGTGCCAAAGTTCTGATGACAGTGGCTTATATCTCTTTTTTTGCTTCATCCATCTCCAGACTTGTTCTAGCTTCTTTAATTTTTCACTTTTCACTTATTGCCAGAATGATTCTTCCGTTTTTTTCACTCTTATTGTATTTTCCATCATCATCATTTTCAATGGTGGTTCAATCATGATGTCCCGTTAAGAAAGATGAAACTAGAGACAAAAGAGGGGAAAAAGATTCTCATGAGAGGTTGAATACCTTTACACTTGTTGACTAAATAAATACCTTTGTGAGTACATTCAGCTTTCACTGATACTGGCGTATTAACGATATGATGATGATATTTTGTCGCTAAACTCGTCGTTATCACACTGTCACTCATCATCATTATTAGAATCACCTAACGGAATCTTGTGAAGATTTTGATGAAAAGCAAAAAATAATTCAGCCAACATGGGATCAGAATTATTTGAAAATTTTACCATTATGATTATTATCGTTGTAATTATAACTTTTATTGCCACTAACATTCTCATGGCGATCATCATCTAAAGCAACGGCATTACTTTATAATGGTAATAGTGGTAATAATCATAACAATAATAATGATGTTCAAGATGATGATGATGGTGATGTAGATAATGAGTAATATTATTGCTATTATCACCAGAGAATTTTATAATTTTTGTCTCTTCTTCTTTAGATTTATTTTCACTTTTTTATTTTACTTTTCACCCTGTTTTGTTGTTTAACCTGAGATAGAGTTCCAATGTACCAAAAGGTAAAAGCACTTGAATATAGAAGTAGATGACATTTATAAGACAGGAAAAGATGTGATGATATAATGACGATGATTATGATGCTTAAATAAGCTGCTATTAAGAAGCAATTAAGATTGATTTTAATTGTTCACTATAACACTTACCCCAACACTCTTTAGATGGATCACCAGTAAAACCAGCAGGACAATGACAAGCATATCCACCGGGCGTATTGTGACATTCAGCACCTCTTCCACATGTGTCTTTATCAGCACACTCGTCGATATCTAAAAAATGAAATTAAAATAAAAAGATTAGCAAAACTTTTAATTAACAAAATAATTAACACAACCATTGTCAATCCAATGGGTTAACACAAAGAAACTTGAAACGTGGTTTTGTAATCAGCCGAAAAATCAATTAGCTGATAAAAGAAACTATCAGCTAGGCTTAAAATTAATCTTTTGGCTTAGCTTTAGATTTCATTTCAAGTTTTCAATTTTATTTTTAACCGTTAATATTTTTTTGATTGAAATGGCCAATTCATTGATTTATGAACATTTTTTATATTCAAGTGAATTCTATTCATGTGTATTAACGTAAAACTCTGTGATAAATCAACAAAAATGTTAATCTTTTTTGACTTACAACCCTTCAAAGTGATAAACTACGCACTAGACATGGATACACATGGATTATTATTTATGTTTACTTTTCCAGTTTTATAGATTACATTTCAACAGTTTAACATTTTTTTATTTATTGGGCTGGTTGATGATTTGATCCTTTCATTTAATGGTAGATTGGTTAACAAATTAACTGGAGAAACCAATTTGTGAATTAGACTGGCTTTTAAAATACGGTATGTAATATATATTTCTTCCATGGGCTACATGCAAGCTTTGTTTTGTTTTCAAATTTTCTAATTTTTTGGTTAAATATCTTCCATTGTTACAGATTCCAATTGGTTCCATTATACATTAATCGATTTTAAATTGCTCTTGATTTCAAATGGTTATTCAAATGAAAGTGGTTACTCTGTTGCTCGCATTATATTTTTCATGTTAATCACTCTCTCGTTTGGTCATTAATGGTGTTTTCTGTTGAATCTGTTTCTCATTACTCTTCATTATACTTTAACCTTTTCTCATTCATCTCATCCATTCAATCATGGACATCGTGAGGGTCATCATCATAATCATCGCCACAAATTTTAATCTATTTTGTTCAAACAAAAAGACTAAAGGAAATATAATCACCAACCATTCCAACGAATTATTCTGACCTCTAACCGTTGCACGTTCAAAAAATGAAACAACGCAAACTAATATTAGATTCAAGTAAAGTCAAGGATAATCAAAAAATCAAAGGAAATGAATCAAATAATAATAATAATGATTATTATGATGACGTTGATGATGATGGCTACTATGAGATGAAATTACGAGATGAGAAAAAAAAATATCTTCAATTCTAATTTAAATCAACTGGATTCTGATGGAAACATTATCATGATAGAGTTTCTCTCTTTCTCATTTCATTTTCCTCATTTCATATAAATACACTTCTCCAGTATCATTATCATCACTTGCAATAATCATCATCATCAACAACATCATGATATAAAGCAATTGAGCAGCCTTTCCAAATTGAGATGGATGATGAGGAAGATGGGAGACGATGAAATGTTAACTGTAAGCTGATTGAATTTGATTGTTCTGTCAGCTTCCCAGTTTAATCAACAGAATCAAGATGGAGAATGGATAGACCTTGACCGTGCCTAGTCTTTAAAACTTTAATTGACGATCATATTTATCCTCATCATAATCAACTTCATCGCAGTAATCATTACCGTTACCGCCATCAAAAAAAATCATCATTTGATTGTGATTTAAGGAAGAAATCTAAACAAATGTTTAATCAAACGAGTAACCAGAGAGAAGATTCAGTTTTGAATATAATGGATCCATGAATAATACATGAAAATATTGTTACAAATCTTTATCTCAAATTGGCTCCACAAGTGGAATTGATTGCTAGCCAAGTTTCAAAATTTACTCAATCAGTTGAGCTGATCATTTACATTGGATTGTGTTAACAAATTGGAATCGAAACTGAAGGTTATTTTTTCAACATCAGCTTACCTGTACATGATTGAGTTGCATTTCCGGTGAATCCTTCCTTACATTTGCAAACAAAATGACCAGGAAGATTACAACATTCAGCATTTTCAGCACAAAGTCCAGCCAAGGCAGGCACTTCACACTCATTTACATCTGATTGGGAGGAAATAAGTTAACCAAGAAAAAGAATGAGAAAAAGTAAAAGAAGAGAAAGAGATTAAGATGATTGAAATCAAAAAAAGGAGGAAAAAGTGAGAATCACAGGAAGATGACCTGTTGTTCAGTTGATTGAACTGAATCAAAAAGATATCTTTGTCATTTTATGAATCGCTTGATTGTCATAAAATATTACATCAAAATAAGTGTTTCATCTTACCAGTTTTACATCAACTTATTGCAATGAAAAGATTATGTCAACGGTTATTGAACCAACAAATATCAACTAAAGATCAACCTGACAATAACTAGTCTAGACCATCAGACAAATAATTAAACTAATTGTTGTGACAAAGACAGCAGAAGGTTAAAATTTGAATCAAATTTTGAAGGTTTAACTGAGTTTCACCGAAAAACGTTAGTTGAACGGATTTTCGGTGTGAAAGATGATCATTTAAATACAATGTAAGGTTGAAATGTTGATATTGATTGATTGTTAAATTATGATTGATCTTTAAATTGATTAAGGCTCAACAAAATTGAGTTAATAAGTGGATGATGAAGTGTAAAGAAAGATGGCGAGATGTTAAAAGACAATGGTTATTGATAAAGGGCAAGGTTGAAGGGTGATTAACAAGTAAACTTACCATGGCAGGTGAATCCATCGCCTTCATAACCAGGAAAACATGAACAGTAAAAGCTGCCCAAAGTGTTGGTACAATGTGCAAAAACATCACAAGGTCGATATTTACATTCATTTTCATCTAATTAAACAAGGATTGCAGTTAGTAATTTGATGAAACAAAATACATTGAGACAAAAAAAAGTAAAGGTTAACCAGAAAAATGTGCTTTATTTAACCCAAAAAAACTGGAAAATATTGATCACAAGGAAACGCAAATTGTCTTCAATTTATTGATAAACAAACATATTTCAAGACTTGTTTGTTGCTTTTGTTGTTTACTTAGTTGATATGATTTGACGTGTAAATCATGATTATAATGAAATAAAGGTAAATCATTTGTTCAACAAAATGAATGATCATTCAAGGATAGACTTAACAATTGTCTATTAAAATACATACCATAGAGATGATTAGTTGGTTAAGATGGATTCAAGTTTCGCTTGATTCAAGTAAAGTAATGTTAACATTTGAACGGTTTCTTGCCTTTTCATTTCTATCAGAATACTGTTGATTATCTGGTCAACATATACATTCATTGACTCATTCATTCGTTGATTGGTTCATTCATTCAGCTGAATATCCAGTAAAAAAGAGTAACAAATCATCACTAACAATAAACCAACAATAAATCAACAGATAACAATGAAAATACAAAAAAATGAATGAGAAGTGAAATACAAATAATAACTGAATTTATGAACCTAAGAAAGGATTTACCAGTGATTACCAGAAAATAATGTTGACTGGTTGATAAAGAAGTAAATTTAATTTAAAATATCACTGAAAATACCTAAATGTCCACTTCAATGCTAGTCAAATGTTTAGTATCAAATGAAGCAAATATAAGAAACAAATCTAATTTTGAAACTGCGAAATTTAATCAAAGTTCAATTGATAGTCCATCGTAAACATGAATTGCAATGTAAAAAGTGAAATAAGTAAAACTTATCGTACAATTATCTAGCAAGTAAAAAATACACGATAATGATGATGATGTTGATGTTGTAATGGTCAGTCAACTCAGATTTGCTTGGTTGATTTTTCATTCCCTGTTTGGTTGATTCTTGCTTTTTTTACTGTTCATCAGACTTATTTCATCAACTTGTGATTACAATATTTAGCTTTTTTTTATGTTTCTTCTGAATCTACAGTCAAACAATCAACCTTCATCATTTTACCCTGAGAATAATGTTTAAGAAGAAATGAAAAGTACAACTGAACAAATCAAATATTTTCATAAGTCAATAGGATAAATTAATAGATATCAAGATATAATTAATATCTAAAAATAAAGCTTTTTTTACATTCATCTCAACATGATTATTATTGATCAGTTTTTTTTTCTGAGAGTCAAAATTTTCTCCAATTTTTCTTGGTAACAATATTTTGGTCAATTTTTTTTCATCGTCATTACCAAAGGTAAGCAAGGTAAAGAGGTGGAGCAGGAGGAGGAAAAGGTGGTCCAAGTCCATCATTTTTATCATTTGAAAAATCTTCATTTTCACAATGAAAAAAAGTAAAAAAGAAGAATCTCCTTCAGAAGAAGAAAAAAATGAAAATAAAGTTTCAAGCTTCAATGGTTCCTATCTGCCTCTACAATAACGTCAAAAGTATCTTGTTCATTTTCAGCTGACAAATCAAGTCTTCGCATGAAAAATTTCTGCTCAGAAACTGTTCCGTAGATTCGCCTTCATCTTCATTTCCGTCTTTAACCTCAATCACAGCGAAGAAGTCTGAAGCCAAAAGTGGAAAATCCTTCAACCTAGAAAGTCACTCTTCTCGGATCAAAAGAAGCTCTTGATGAGGGTCTTTACGTGACAAGTAACTTTCATTTTCCTCTTGTTCATTCACTTTTCTAATCTTATCATGAAATTTGGAGAATCATGAAACTTTAAATTCCAGTTTTCATTGAACTATTTTCGAAACCTGATAACAATCATTAATTGCTATTATTTAAAGTTAATCAACTCAATTAGCTTAATGAATTTATCCAAAGTACCATCAACATTGTTATCAAGATAATTTTTTACCTTAAATCATGAAATGATTTTAAATCATCTTTGAACTGCTATTTAACATACAATAGCATGTATAATAATAAAGTTAACCTTTAAACAGCTTCCTCACATAATCATTATTTAACTCTTTACCTGACTTTGACTTCAACTTTTCAAAAAAAAGTCAAGAAAGTAAACAAAAGATTCTGGTCTATTCTGGTCACGATTATCATCTTGAATGAACTTCAAGTCAACAGTAACTTTTAAGCTTGTTACAGTGTTGATAGCCATTAACATTTTCGGGTGTTCATCATGTTCATCAGTTGCACTGATAATTATCACAATAAACCTTTTCTTTGTGAATAAATCAACAGTTAAATTAACCAATCAACGCCCGTTTCTTCAATCAACTTGCAACGAAACTCAAGATTCCCTGGCGTGACCTTTAATTAGTGTAATTAACGTCTCATCTATTTCACCTTGCTCCTTTATTTCCTATCCAATCCACCCAACAACAAACTTCCGTTTCTAGGGAATAACAAGTTAAAAGTTAACAAGAATAAATAATATTGTCCATTTAACATGTTGATACCTTTTCCACCTTAAAGGTGTGTTTCTTATAACACTTTGTTTAAAGTCAATGATAAGCTTCCTTATAACATGTTAAGCTCAACATGAAAACATGAATCTTTTTCAATCCATCGAGTAAATCACGTCTCATTCGTTAATAACTTTCTAACAATTAACCAAATGACCATCAAAAACAGTATGAAACAAGGTTGATTAAGAATTGTTTATAAATCTTGTTCGAAATCAAATATTAGGTCAAGTAATGGTGATTTGCGTTAAAAATGATTGAACCTTGTCATAAAGCATCTGTTTGACAATCAAGCTTATCGTCTAACAAGTTAATCTGTAAATAGTGAAACTTGAAAAGTGAAATGTTTATCAAGTTTAGTCATTAAACCTAATAGAGTCTGTAAGTTGTAATTTCAATCAATATGCAACAATAATCTGATGAAGTCTAGATGTTGTTATAAGCTGACAATCGGCTCAAGTTGAAAATTGATTTTTCCTGCTTTGCTTCCCAACGATGTTGCTCAGCATGCAAAATAACAAAAGTTTGGACAGAAAAAGTTATCATTGTATCAATTAACTGGTAAATGAAGCGTCAATGTCAACGTAGGCAACCAAGAGCATTAAAGTTGGTTACATTTGGTGAGATTAAATAGTCAATGTTCACAAGATGATGGAGAGAAAAAAAAGTCATCACACTCTCATTTTCCCATCGAGTTTCAGTTACCTTTCAATCATCATCATCATCGCCACCATTATCATTACCAACATGAGCAAAATTCAGTTTCATGGGAGAAAGAAACTTGACCCGATCCTATGCAAGAACCTCAATTACCCTAAGATTCAGTTTACACACACACATTAGAGAGTTTAAATTCACATTGACTCCATTAATTAATACAATCAACTTTCTTCAAATTAATTTACCAGTGACTTTACGTGAAACCAAACAATTAAACAGTCAAACATTTCTACCGTTATTTCAATCAAAACATTGTTTCAATCAAAGCTGATTGTTTAAGTGCGTTTTCAGATGCAATCAAATAACCAAAACTCAACATCCAATGAGACTTTCAGTTAAACAGACGTTTGATCAAATAAAGTTCAACCAATTAACATGTAAAAGTTGAATTTAAATGTCTTCACTAAAGAGGAAAGAAAATTTCTTTGATCAAGATTATCATGAAGCACATTTTTCTAATCATGTCACTTTAGTCTTACCTGGCAGGTCACAGCCTTTGCCACCAAATCCATCATTACAGTAACAAAGGTTGTCTAGGCAAGCACCATTAAGACATTTTGGCATCTTTGGATGGCAGTGATCTGTGAATATAATCAAAATTAAATTAGTAATTTAAACATAACAAACAAATCAATTTGAATACAAACAAAATTTTGAGTTTACTTCCAACTTTAGTGAAATATCAAAACAATCAGCCCAAGTTAAACATTTTAACCTTAACCATGACCTTTTCATCCCCATCAATATCATCTCACATTTCATCTCATTTTTTCTTGTTTTTGTTTTCAACTTTTCACTTTTATTTTTGTTGATCATTTGAGCAAAATTTCAAGAAAAAAGTGATTTTTCAAAGTCTTGCATAAATTACAATCTATTTATTATTCAGGTAACTGAGTCTAATCTTCTTAACCAAAAAAGTCATCTTCAGCTTCGTTTTCATTTCAGCTTTTACTGAACTTTGGTTAACCAAGTTGATTGGTAGACTTAACTTTTAATGAACTGTTTTCATAATAAAACATCATTAATCAATTGATTAACAATCAATCTTTATCATCAAAGTTGACCAATTTAAGTTGATCAATTATGTTAGTGAAGTTTCGTCTAAATGGGAAAAGTTGAACAAAAAGGTGTAAACAAGTTTTAACATTACAATTGATATAATTTACAAGGAACAGTAATTTATACATTGTGTTATTAATGAGTCTACAATCCATTAACAGTGATTTTAATCTTTTTAATAACAATTTAAATAATTGTTATTTCTATCAATTATCATTATCAATTGCGAAAGCCGTTAAGAACTTTTGATCAGTTGATTTGATTGAATAAAGAAACGATTTTTAATGAACAACAATGATATTTAGATGATGATGATGATGATGATGAAGGATAAGAAAAACAAGATTTTTCTTGCTTTTTCTTGTTCTTTTTTCTTTATCTTCATGTTTTCACTTTGGTGTGAAAATTGCAAGGTAACCCAAGGAAAACGTTGTCAACGTTTGATTGTTGATTGTATTACTTGACTTACCCTTGATTATCATCATCATCATTCTGTTGTAGTTGGATGTTGCTTCTGTTTTTGCTGTCTTTTTTTTCTTCTCTTCTGGTGATGATCATGAAGCGAGGTCACCCAACTGTATATTGTTACCCAAGAGTGATTTAACTACAACAGTCTAACATGTTTAACATCAAAGTGTGATGATCTTGGGTAACTATTAGCAAATTTACGGCAACAAAATCGATATACAAAGGTTGATAAAAGAGCCAAAAAGGGGTTATCCTGATGATTAGCTTTAATCAAAAAGTCCCTGGTTATCTGGTTATTTGGTTAAATGTTTCAAGACTCAAAGAGAAAGTTTTCAGACAATCATTGGAACCTTAATATTACCTTAAAATGTTTTTATTATTCAACTGCTAACAAGACATTGGATAACAAGTCTTTAGTCAAGTTGAAGATTGTAATTAAATTGTCTCATGATTCCACCTAATTCTCATGATTAATCAATTGTTTTGTTGGCGATTAAGATTAGTGAGATTGGGTAAATTCACAGTCGACAATAAAGTGGGAAAACAATAAAAGTGAAACTAATGATATGGAATGTAAATGATGGTTAAACAATGGTCAAGCGAAAGGATAGAAAAAAAAGTTATGAAAAGGTAAAAAAGCTCATGATGATAGGTTGAATTGTGTGAAGTAGAATCTTGAGAATGAAATTGAAATTATTGGTTTTGATTAAAATGTAGGGAAAAAAATGTAAAAGAATGTGCAAACTTATTCCAAATCAACAGATGAAAAAGAAGAAGAGAAAAGGTTAAGAAAAAGTTCTGAGGAGAAGACAAAAAAAAGAGATTTGATTCTAGACTGAAGGGAGATACAAAAGCGACCAAACAAGGAGGATTCAGAATGGATGATTAGGATGATTAAGATGATAATGGTTCAAGTGAAAGTAAAGGTTGAACAAAAATCTCAAGGATTGAAAAATGTTAACACAATTGTAAGGTAAATGTTAAGCGTCTTTTTTCCGTCTAAATTGTCTATTCTTTCATTATCATCTTCACTCTTCCCTTTCTCTCTGAGCCAATAATTTTTTTTTCTTTCAACTTTTTTTTTCTCTCCAAGATTTACCTGTAAAAACTCAATTGCAAGGGAAAGTTGAAAAGTGCAACTTTGAAAGGGAAAGGATGATCAGGAGTTATATGAAGCCAGTGTTGCCGAAGGGTCCAAATGACCACACACAAGTTTGGTTTTTTAACGAGAAAAGTTTCATTTGTTTTTATCGTTTTGGTTTCAAGTTTTATTGAAACCAATAAAAAGCTTATTGGCTTGATATTATCCTAATATTGGCATTTGGCTTGAAACCATTTCATTTCAAACCTACACTTTTGACTCATTAAAACGCCGTAAAGCTGTTCGACAAGGTCACCTAAACTCCTCGACGAATTGGTTTATTACCAAATACGTTGAATGAGTACGAAAAGGTGTTTCTCTTGTTGTTGGTGGTCCTGATCACATTTGGCTTTATTGTTTCAATGTTGATATTAATATTTGGTGATCAAGGTTAACCTTTTCAAGATCATCGGCAATCATTTTATCCCAATAATTTTAATGATTAAGTGTTCAGTTTGACTTTTTTTTTGCTCTTCTCTTCATTGTTCTTCTCCTTTCTTTTAATTAAACGCTGAAAACTGGTTACTTTTGGTTTGCAACAGTTTTCAATTTTCTGGTTCATGGAATAACTTTTTTTTTGCTTTTCTGTATAATTTTTGCCAGAGAACAAAGTTAATCAACTAATCAATTAATCATACTTGATTATGAGAAGTAATTTGGTAGTTGTGGTGAAAGGAATCCGTTTGACAACAATGTTGAAATGGTTTGAGAGGAAAAGTTAAATTGCTTCAGGATCAACAGGTTACAATGGGAAGAGAAAGTTTTAGGTTTCATTTCAGACAATTATTTAGTTTATCAAGTCAGGTTAACTCAATTTATTCAGATATTACAGGCTATCTGATAGAACTGGCTAAAGCTGTCTGGTTTTGTTTACAGAATCTGGACACAAAACTGATGTGACTGTGATAATGTATTTCAAATTATTGACTTTGGAGGAAAGCTTTTGGTTATTTTGTTTATTGTTTGATTAGGAGTTTGTAAACTGTCTTTCGGGTAAAGAAGTAGAAAGTAAAGAGTTTGGTGAAAAAATCTGGTTCCTCGACTGTACAAAAAGAGACTCAAGTTTCAACTTTGAACTCAATTTTATCAATGATTGTTCATCAGAGGAACTTGTTGATTCGCAAAATGGAATCTTTTTTGTTTCCCTTCAACCAACAAAGGCTCAACTCTCAACTCGAATTAAAATTTTCATCTGTGATTAAAGGCTTTTTTCATCTCGAAATGAATATTATCGATGTGACAACTCTACTCATCATATTATCATAATTTATCTCAAAGCTATGAGATAAAACACTCGACTTCACCTCGAGTTTGGCTTATAAACTGCCCTTAACTTCTCGATGTAGTGATTTTACTGTCACTCGATTCTTTGTTACTAACTTTTGTGTTTCCCTTTGCTCTCTGTTTCTTACTTTCCTCAGTTCACAGTGTTTTCCTCAGTCACATTTTACTAATTGTCTCTTTTTCCCTTTCTCAGCTGCATCCCATAGAAGAGCTCAAGCTTCTCTGATGCCATCAAGTCAAAGTATGAGCTTGCTGCCGGTTACCAAATTCAGCTGTATATGGCCGATCCAATACTTCACTTCTATTCCTAGTGATATCGAATTCATCTGCTGTCCTAATTTTTCGCCACCTAATTCCAAGGATAAGTGGTTTATGAAATTGAGACCCAAAGTTTTAGATGAACAATCTGGCATTGAGTATATTGGTATTCATTTGTTTTTGAGGTAATGTCAATACTTATATCTTTTCGTACTTTAAAGTACGAGTCCATGTTCTGACGACGATATTGATCTTGTTTAACTACTTTTACCTTTTTATTTGATCAAAACAGAGACATTGTTATGTTTTATTTCTAGATATGATAACTTCTCGTAAGAATCTTCTTCCTTCAAAATTGCTACTTGAGTCTATTATCACTCCAAAGCGTTTTTTTGTGATTCGAAATTCAAACGTTCAATATCTATTTGCACAGACAATCAATATTCGAGTATTGATTAAACAAGGCATTTTAAGATGTACAAAATCAGAAATTATTCATCACTTTCATCTATTATATTTTACAGGTCATGTGAAGACTGGACAAAACAGCAAATCAGAGCTAGATACATAATATCAGTGCTGGATCTCGATGGTGATCCAAGGTACACTGGAGAATGTAGTCGACCTGAGGGAAGAATATTCAAAGCTGGAACTGAAGGTCATGGATATAGACTACTAGCTCCTAGAGAAGTACTCCTTAACCCTGCTAATAACATGCTCGGAGCCGAAGATACTATTCGCATTTTATGTGAAATTATTATGTTTGAGGAAGTGGAAGATATTGAGAAAATAAATGCTGAAAAATCTTTGATTGAAGCTACTCAAACACTAGACATTGCTAACTAATTTTTGACCAACGAAGCTGAGAAAACAGACGTAATTTTGGAAAGGAAAAGGCGAAATTCAAGTGAAAGCTGATGAAATTATCTTGTCAATGAGATGAAAAGTAATATTTTGAGTTGTGATTTGCCACAAAATCAAAGAAAAGGCAGAAAGTAAAATGAAAGTTTGTTTGTATTCCAAGTTGTTTGAAATTAAAAAAGAATGAAATTGAACAATTAACTTTTTGTTATCGGCACTTACTTCTGTCTCCACATTTGAGCTCAAGGGCAAGTTCATCAGAACCAAGAAAACACTGAGGTACTCCATCACAGAGCTTTGAGAGCTCAAAGAGCTGCAGGAAATCGGTCGATTCGTTGACTTGGCAACCAAAATAACCATCTTCAAGGTTAAGAAGAAATATCTCCCTTTGAACTATTGGACTAGGCCATTTGGGTCGATATTGAGCGGACACGGGATCGATTGAGATAATAAATAATAGGTTAATGGACAGAAACAGGAGAGTAACAAGTGAAGGTAAAGTTGGCCGAGTAAACCATTTTTGATATCCACAATTGCTGCTAGTTAATACTTTTGATGACAATATATGATTGGGTTGAGTTGAGTTAAATGATGATTCATCCAAATTACCAGTCAACTCTTTCCTACAATCATAATTATCTAAACAATTTGATTCCTTATTACATTCATTTTGTGTTGTTGTTGTCGTTGTATGATGATTGCATGAAAATGAACAAGTTAAAGGTGAACAATCAGATGAATTAAACAATGATGAGCTTGTTGTCGATGAGTCTGGATGATGATGATCGGACTCTCTACAAGTTGAACTGTACTCCATTGGGGACACAATTTGTTAAATAGTTGACAGGCTATTGGTCAGCCTTAACAACTGTTGGTTAACCTTTGAAAAAAAAGATGAAAGATAAGGTTCGATTAAATCCAATGTGAAAAAATAGATCGAAGTTTTGTTTTTGTGTTTGGTTCACGATTTCAATTAGACTGTTGATTCACTGAAACATTATCAAAGCAAGATGATACAACTGATATCGTCACAAACCATTGTGACCTTTGGGCAATGTTTAAATTGCAAATTGACAAACAAAAAGGTAAATCACACCATTTGGTTTCAATACTTAATCACTTAAGAACACTTTATTAATGAAGAAATTGCGATTTTTCAAGTTTACGCAAATATGGATATTGTGTGTGTGTGTTGACAATGTTGACTCAATGTTGTCCTCTACTGATAATGACGATTAAAAAAGGATAAAGATAACCAGGTAAAATAGTGGGAGACTGAGAGTGAGTTTCGTTGAGTCTTAACGTTTAGACGTCTTACCTAACGACTGGTCTGACAACCGAGTAAAGATTCATGTGAGAGAAGATATTTTCTTGCCGTTCAGTCTCTCTTTTGCTCTTCTTTCGTCTTTCCTTTAAAACATTTTTTGTTTCTTTTTTCTCTTCTTCTTCTTCTTCTCTCTCTTCTCTGTCTACCTGTCTCTTTTACTTGGAGAAAGAGAACTTGATGATAATGATGATAATAAAGAAAGAGCCGTCCTCCATGACCACCTTTTCCTTTCTGGGCTTTTCTCAAGAATCCTGTTTCTCACCTAATTCTTACCCCTCCCAGTTACGAAGGAGAAACACTGTGATGATGGAAGAAAGAAAGAGTCAAGAAAGAAAGTAAAATGGAAAAGAGAAGATAAAGGTTCATCCACCTTCTTCATTCTCTTTCTTTTTCTTCTCTCCTTGAATCCGGTCTGTCAAATGTTCGGCTCAAGAATTATATTAATAAAAAAAGAAATGATGAAGAAGCTCCAATGATAACCTCCTTCTTGTCCCTTTCTCTTCATCTTTCCCTTTCTTCTGGACCAACTTCCTCTCTTACTTTTATCGTCTTATCTTCATCTCTCTCTCTTCCTCAGACTTTATCAATGTTGAACAATTTAATTTTCATTGGAACGCAATGTTAACGATTTTAAATGTAAATATTTTCATTTCATTTGAAACGATATTCAGTCAAAATTACGTTATGAAGATGATGAGGAAGAACCAACTATCTTCATGAGCCAATTTATTGCATTGATTCATTGTTGAGAATTTACAACGAATGAAATTTAAATCAGTTCTCGATCCAACTGAATCATTAAGAGGACCTATTCTTGTCTATCAAGATAATTTAAGAGCAATGATTGCTCGATTAAAGCAAGTGGAAAAGGAAAGTTATTATTTACAAAAGGCTTTGCTTGATGAAAAGACTGCATCAGGAGTCGAGAATGGCTCAATGACTGAAGAATTGGCTGTATATGAAAGGCAAATAATGGCTCTAAAGGAGAAAATTAATAGAACTAATGAAGAGTTGACATTAATGATCAATCTTTTCAAAGAATCTCAGTTAACAGCTGATAAATCGAGAGAAAATTCATCAGTGTCACAGGAAGGTGAAGCTAATCAAGAGCTTGTTAGTGTTGCTCGACGAATCGAGATTTGTTTCAAGCGAGCTTGTTGGAAGTTGACTGAAACTGACGGACAAATGGGCCTTGCAAAGGTTGAATTAAATAATTTCATTTACACGAAAGTGGTTAAAAGTGATGATTCGTTTGAACATAGTCTTGAACTTGGCTACATCAAAGTTTCCAATTTAATTCCTAACCAGAAACATCCCATAGTCTTAGAACCAGCTCCTGCAAAGCCACATATTCCAATCGACTCCAGGAGAGCATTAAGAGTTTATTGTCGGGAATCTCCTCCTCAAAATGGTATACCAATAAAGGAGCATTTTGAAGTTAACGTTATTCCTCGATTGTTCACATTTGATCTCGATTTTCTAGAAAACTGTCCGGATGAATTATTGATAGCACCAATGGACTCAGTTTTTGTGTCCCTGCAAACCTAAACACTCTTTACTCTTAACTCAAAAGTCATAGTTTATGTCCTTTAGTCAATGTTGGCTTTTGATATTAAAGTTAAGCTTTATTTTGGTCGTTGAATGGTGCCTGTAAGTCTAGTCTAACTGTCGCAATTTAATTTTGAAAAATTAGTCCAAAACATTACTGTGCATACCTTAGTCTTTCCTTGAAGATCATTTGGCCGTTGAATGATTTTTATTTTGCCCTGTCTGGTGATCTTGGCACTCTAGTTGATCGATAATATTTTAATAGATGAATAAACTTGAGTCGCTTCAATTGCGATTGTGAAACGGAAATGTTTTCAAACTAAAAGGACTAACTTCAAGAAAACCTTTAAACACAAAATGTTAAATTTCATTAGAATCTCAATCGAAGGTAAATTGACACTAAAAAGATCATTTTTCAAATAATTCAATATAAAGTTTGTTTTGGTTCAACTGAAAGGAATAAAACTTCGAAAGTTGAACATTTATGAAATCATTAATTGACTCGAAAATTTACACTCGAGACTCGTGAAAATTACGCATTTCCAAGAATACCTTAACCTTAATTAAGTTTTACTAACATGAAGTAAGTTATCAAATTTTGGAGGATCGACGACGTTTCTGTTTACAATCAAATAAGCAACAATCAATGTTTGCGTAGCTGTTGATCAATGCTAAACTTCATGTGTGAGTGTTACCTTGCCGTTGATGATGATAATGGTGTTAATAATAATAGTAAAACAAAGCGTTTACCTGATTCAGCTGATTTCTCAAAAAGGAATCAACATTAAACAAGAAACAACATTTACCGTTGACCAAGTTTAACCTACGCTAAAGATAAATAAACTGGGATAAGCTCAACGAATAAACGTTTCAACTGGAAATACGTTTTCGTTTCTCGTTAAACACTCAGTAACTGTTGTTTTCCAACCACCTGTTTCAACGATAATCATCATTAATTCGTTATCTGTTGAACCCACGACTTTCGTTCACTTTCTTCCCTCTCTCTTTTCGAATCTCGTCTCTCTCCTTGAAAATGAACGGCAAAACATGAAGTTTGATTGAGAGAGAACAAGATAATTATAAACTTTTTTTGATTCACGAATTGGTTAAAGTCTTTAAAGTGGATAACATTGAAATAATAATCTGTCCGATAAGGAAATGAAGAGAGAAGCTGAAGAAGTTCAAGATTCAGGGAGAGTGAAAAGAAATGAATAATAATGATATTTACACAGTTGCTGTTTATAACAATAAATTGAACACAAATCATTGTCTACAAATGTTTCAAATAATCAATTGATTGTGCAAAATTAATTGCAAGGAAAAACCTTGCCAAAGACAATCCCTAACCCTTTCCATTATAATCCAACGTTTAATCATGAAATAGCAATGTTTAGTCGTTTGTTAGTCAGTAATAACTGTTGATAGTAAAATCTGTTATCCACATTTCATAGACTCTAATGTTGCAAATTTGATAATTTAATAACCATTGCAGGAACCTTCAATCTTGATTTGCATCTTGTTTCTCATTATTTGATAATCTCAATAAACTCTTGCAAGTTGCTGTGATCGATCGAACTGAATGACCCTTTGTCAGTAATAGCAATCTATCGAACTAAAATTGAACAGATATTATCGTAAACTTTATTCGCTATACTTGAAGTAACGCAAACGTTAATGCAAAGCATCTCAAAGTTTGCTTCATTTAATCTGTTGACCTTTGAATCTTAAATTGTGATAGAAACTCAATTTTTTGGTAAATTAAATCATTTCCAATATTAATCTAATTTTTGCAGGTTACTCTGTTAACATGATGAAAACCCACACAAAGCACAATAACATTGTAAAGGTAAACAAGTTAAAAATGATTCACACATTCATTTCCTTATAAACCTAAATTAAATCTGTTGAAGAAAGAAAAGAAAATGAATAAGTTTGGAATGGCGAAATGACCCTGAAAAATTGCATTTCCTAGAATCTTGAATTATAATTGTTATCATTATTATTATATGAATATAATAAAGTTATGATGATGATGTTGAAATGTTACATTTACAACTCAATGGGATAAACATTGTTGGCCTTTTAATCAAATAAAAAGATCTCAGGGAATGTTAAAGGCTTATAATTTAACTCCATGTTGGAAGTCTAATTTGCTCATTCAAACCTCCCTCATCCTGATCATCATCATCACCATTTACAGTAACATCATCATCACAGCTTAACCATCATCTTACCCTTTAAAAAAAGAAAACCTTTTTTTCTCTAACCTTACCTTACTGTTCAAAGCAGGTTAACATGCAAAAAGTCACTCAACATGAAGGAAGTTAACATGAAGTAATTTAACCAACGGAAATGGTCAGTCAGTCAATCATCATTCTCATTCATTTCTATCACATCAAATCATCCTTGAACTGAGCAAAGAAACTGCAACCAGTAAACCTCATGTTCAACTTTAAGAATTTCATTTGAACCGAACTTTTAATTTCTAAATTTACGAATTCGTTTCCTTGAACAAATCTTCATTTACGATAATTCTTTAAGTTATTATATTAACACATAATCTGTTTATTATCATGATTATCAAAACCTTGGTCTGTTAGTTGAAACTTTGTGTTAGACGAAAAGTGAAATCAACTTTTATTCATTTGAATATCTGAATGGAATCGGATAAAAAGATTTAATATGAAGATGATGAGTTTGATAGTATTGTGAAGCAAGAATTGTTCATTGTTCAACTTTTAGTAAATTAATTGACAATAAATATAGTTTTACAATTGTTTAATTTCAGCTTTTTAATTGTTGGCTTGACGAGAGGTAAGAATAAAGTTTGAGTAAATGGTCAGTTAATTGGCGTTATTAATTATAAAAGACAAAGTAACAAGGGTTAGGTCACTAAGAAAAGGTGATTCACATCATCTTGATGCAGGTAAATGAATAAGAAAAGGGTAAACATGATCATTGTGTTAGCACACGCAAACATTTCATTTTTGTTCAACATTCATTCACCATGTTATTTATTGCTTCTTTCACTGACACATTCACAATGGATGATACAATTTGTTCAGTTTCAATTGTTTACTTTACATTCAACAATCAAACGTTTCAACAAATTTCAATATCTTATAACGTTGAATCAACTTTCATTTCCATCTTCGTTATTGTTACCTTTTCAACTTTAAACATTTCATTAAACATTTTGATGCACTAATGCAACAATATGATCTCTTTAAATCAACTTAATAACTGTAAATCAGTTTTTAAACGAGTAATGCTAAGCATTTTAGAGTTAAAATGTTGCAAATTGTTAGCCAAGAATTGAAAAAGTTAGCCAAATGATCAAGAAATCTATCGATTCGAGCAAATCTGATGTATTTAGTGATTTGGACTTCAAACATCTGAGCGATCAGTTGATCATTGCTGCACCAAGTTAACTTAGTTTTTGCGAAGTGAAAGCATTTCATTGTTAGATCGGAATAGT